TGAGTGTCCCTCTGTTGGAGGACTTACATGTCCACAGCAGTTCCGTATCCTTCATGTTTAGCATCCATGGAGCACTCGATGATCTCAGGAGCCAGGTAGCCTGGTGTCCCACAAATCTCTGCATCACAGACAAGAGTAAAGAGAAGCTTTCAGTCTCTTTAAATGCCAAATTGATATTTGGATATATGGCATTGGGCCAGTGGTTTCCAAAGAGAGGGCGTGACATTGAGTTTTTTCAGGGGAGAAGGCACAGCAAGGCAAGAGAGTTTAACCTGATCTTTGTTCCAGTCTTGTTGCTTTAGGTTATTACTAGGAGATAACCATGTATATTAACATGTAACCTGAAAAGAAAAAAAAAACACTTAAATTCTTTTTTTTTTTTTTTCAAATCAGATCAGATTTCATCAAATGAGCAAACCCTACAAACGTTTGCCAAAATGGTGGCAACTATTTTTTCAGACATAGTATTTGAACAGTTAACTGTTTTGCTGACAACTGAAGCAGAATAAGCTGTTCTATAGATGTAAGATAATTTCCAGGAGGAATTTTAGATCTTCTGGTGTCTGTCAGTTCCTTCTGCAAATGTTTTGCTGGATTCTGAGAAGCCTGTCTGTAAAGGTCAGTGTGCTCTAAGTGATACTAACAGTAAGTAAATCCTTTAGGTGTCCTGTTCCATCTTAACCTTTGTAAGAGCCACAGATTCTCCACTGACCACCAGCAGCTGGTTGTTTACTGTACAGTGACCGTAGGGAGAGGGGGAGGGGCAAAATATTACATAAGTCTTAAAGAAAACACCTTAAACAATGTCAAACAAGAACAAAATATGTTTTCACTGACCCTTCAGCTTCTGTTCTTGGTGCATTTGCACTGCAAAGCCAAAGTCGGTCAGTTTGATGTTCGTGTCATCATCTAGAAGAATGTTCTCTGGCTTCAGGTCCCGGTGGACTATGTTCTGAGCATGAAGAACTTTCACCACTTCCAGCAGAGCACGCATGATCTTCCTAAAACCAACACACGCCAAACTCTTCAAACAATCACTGACATGTATTTTTGTCATAGTCAACAAATGAACCTCGATGCTGACCTGGTTTCCTTTTCACTCAGGGTAACTTTCTCTGTGAGGTAGTCGAAGAGTTCTCCCTTCTTCATCCTGGGCAGAAAAAAGTACAGTTTAAACTGGTGGAGTTCAAAAGCAAAACTTATCTAAAAACCACTTAAAACTCGAGGTGTGACACTTACAGGTCAAAAACCAAGAAGAAGAAGGCTTTGGACTCGAAGCAGTCTTTAAGCTGGACTGCAGAAGAGAGAAGTATTTTTAAAACATTCAGAAGAAAAGGAACAAGCCAAAAGTCCTGACCCAGCAGATAACATCACTAAAGTAAAGGCAAATGACAACACTCTACAACTGACCTCAACAGCAGGTCAGTGGAGCAAGGGTCAAAAACAACTTTTTTCTTAGTGAGGGCAATAATGACTTATTTGATCATTTCTGTTAATAATATAGTGTTTAAATGTGGAGGCACAGTCAGTATTAACATCACTGTGAGGATGGTGCTCACTGATGTTGTCCTGTCCGCAGACTTTCTTCAGGATGTCAATCTCCTTCACTGTTGCCGCTCTGATCTCCTCGATCTCCTGAGGGGTCGTTTTGTCCGAGGGGGTGATGTCAATAATTTTCACTGCATATTCTTGCGACGTCTGTTTGTCGATGCAGCGGCGCACCACACTGCTGACTCCCCTGAAGACGAGACAGACACTTATTTGCCTTCTCATCTGCAGAGGTCCACATTCCTTTGGCCCAATTTCTGTCCTCATCCTTCTCATTGAGCATTGAGCAACAATATCAGATCAGCATGACTGACCTCAGTCAGTTCATGTCTCGTGACCTGAATGTGGAAAAGTGACTGAAATTACATAACAAGTCAGACCCAGGCCCTTCTCAACACTGAACCCTTTATGACAAAGGCATGTTGCAGTTATAGAGCAGGGGTCCCTTTAACACAGTGCAATGACGTAACAGCACCACCGTCTGAGAAACGTGGGGAATGACAATGAGCAGAATTTGGCAGAGCATTTTCTCAGGGGCCTGTGGGAAACTTACAGAGAATTCAAAGGAGAATAAAAGTAATATTTCAAATAAGTAAAATATCTGTTGTTATGCTGTATGTCCTGTGAAATTAGAAAAAATTACCAAATCAAAACAACAACAGTAATTACCTGTGAGTACACCACCATTTATCCTGTTAAGGTTTGAGATCAAGACTGAAGCTAATCCAGCTGACTTGGAGCCAAAGACAGGGAACACCCTGGAAAGGTCACCAGCTCATTGCTGGGACACGTTTCTAGATAGTAACGAAAGGCTGCAGTACACAATGTAAACCTGTGCAAACTCCACACAGATGTCATTATGCTGAACAGGAAGTCAAACACTACACCATGTGGCTCAATGTATCATCATAACACCAGAATCCTTCAACTAGTTCCAAGTTAATGGAGATAAAATATTGAATGGTATGTTGTAGACATGATGTGTGATGTTAGCACATACCTTCCTAAAATCTCCTTGGGCTCATACTTCATGTAGAACTCCTGTGCTCCCACCCAATCAGGGATCTCCTCCTCTTTGGCCATGATGAGTGATGTGGTTTCACAGAACTGCTATCCTCCTGAAGATTTAGCTGTTAACAGTGGTGGGTTGTTGTTGTTTTTTTTAGTGTTAATGCGCATGGTATAACTGTTTTTTTGTTTTGTTTTGGGGTTTTTTTTGGCAGAGGTGATATGTAATAATTTGACTCTTGTTATTTGACTGTAAACTCACAAAATAGTATCTGTTTACTGTTTACTTCGACGTATTTACATCAGGAGTGTCTTTTCGATGGAGGCTGACATATTGTTGGGCATTACTGTAGCCCAGGGTAGACAACTTTAATAATGTCTTTCGTGTTTTTGTGATAATTAAAGGTTAGGTTTGTTTGGGGTTTTTTTGTTAGACATACATATTTGGATTAACGAGGACTGCGATAACATCCATTTCCGGTGAGTTGTTTATACATTTTAGATCTGCCATCGTTCAGATTGATCACATTGTACACGACAATAACCTACCGGTTTGTTTACCCACCTACGCCCCTGTTCGACTCCTATTTTAACACAACAACGTTCTGTTAAAAATCGTACCAAATCACTCACCGTGTCAGCCCCTGCTCAGTTACCCATCACCGGCCGGCACCGGCTCTGCACTCATGGGCTGTCAGCGGATGAACGGAAGAGCTTAGTCTAATAAACGTAGCTTTCGCCGTCGTCGCTCTCCTTTCCGCAGGGTGAACCTTTAATGTCAGACACCAAAAATAAGTGGCAGCTTCTCTGATGAACGCGTGTCCCTTAAAACTTTAAGATCTGCCCCTCATTGCATTACATTAAAGTCCCAGCGCTTCTCTTCACTATTACACGGCTTTGCAGTGAGTGAGGCTGGAGTGACAGGGCAGGTGCTGCATGTGTTCTTCCTGTTCTCTAATTAAAGACCCAGAGAGTAAAAATAGAAATGTTTCTTCGAGGTTCCAGTAGTGCTTTATACTGCCCAGACAGACAGAGTAAAAATGAGGAGACACCACAATCCATTAATGGTCCAAGTGTTTTAATAACTTTAGGCATGTTACAATGAAACTGCAGACTTCGATGCACAAGTCGAGCCAAGTATTTGACAAGTCTTTAACATCTATTTGCAATGCAGTTTATTTTATAATTAGATACAGGAGGAAATGTCAGGTAAAACTACACAAGAAATGACAAATCAATCAGAGTTCGAAAGCAGTGCACCACACTTAGACATAAACATTTTTTTACCACCATGATAATGATTTCTGCTGGCATTTCCTGAGAAATTAAACACAACTCAAAGCAGCAATGGAGATTTCTTGCACATCACAAATTCAGTATCTAGTATGGTGTTTTATTGGAGATCTTTGTGAGTGCTGTTTATTGAATGATGAAGTTTTTTCCCTCTACTCATGGCAGACCTGTTAGGAAACAAAAGAGTCCAGTTAAGTTTTAATACTGTTCATAAGACAATAAACACTGGAGTAATAGACTAGCCAGTAGATGTAGATCAGATTTGTAATTTAATAGTTATTCACATGTCTATTCATTAAAATGCTCAGTCAAGGAATGTGAGATTTAATAAGGATAAACCTAAAACATATATTTGTCAAGGCTAACAATTTAAATATATGCAATGTCACACTCACCATTAGCAAATCTGCACTGTTTCAGTACTTCGCTGAAGCCTTCACAAAGTTTAAGATCACTCTGGTTTTGGGCACATTCCAGGAACTGCTTCATTTCATAGGAGCAGACTTGCTGCTGCTGCTGAGGAGCCTGCTGCTGGTACATGTACTGAGGCTGCTGCTGCTGCTGCTGGGGTTCCTGAACATGTAAAATGTGAAAACAAAATGTGCTTGAGTAAAAGTTTATGTAACAAAATCATAAGCCTTTTTTTACAGTCACATACTTCAAATTCTAATTCTAATTATCTAATTAGTGTAAAACCTGTTTATTTACCTGGTATGTGACATCAGGTCGGGCAGGCTCAGAGTTGCCTCCACTAAAGCCTCCAGTCATGGCATGACCTATCGTGTGTCCAACCGCAGAGCCCACAGCCACACCAGCAGCCGTAGTTGCCATCTGGGCAAACATACCTGGCTGTCTGGGTGCTGCAGCAGGAGCACCCACAGCTGATTGAGGGGCCTGCATTGGAACTGGTGCATGGGAAGGTGGGGGTGCAGCCCTGGCCATAGGTGGAGGTGGTGCCCTAATGTTAACAAGAACATGATTATTAGAGTCCACACATGAGAGCGTTCAACAAAAATCAGTTTTGACTAAAGCATGAGCATCTTGCAACAGAATTACTGTAATTCAGGAGTTTGAATTTGATTTAAAATGATGGGTTAAAATCTGTTTATGATCCAAAATGTAAACCGTTTACTGCTGGCACAAGAGGTCACCCAAGGACTCTGATCAACAAGATCAAGTTTTTTTAAAGATACCAGGCTGCGACGTTGTATAGTGGGCGGTCGGCAATGTTTAATTTTATATTGAATTACATTTAGCAGACGCTTTTATCCAATGTATAAATGTAGTGGGGGGGAGGGTATAACTAACACAATAAACTGGTGTTGGTGGTGGGGGGGGTATAACTAACACAATAAACTGGTGTCATTGAAAATCGTTTTAAATATAAAAACAATAAATGTCGTGTTCATACGGTGACCTTCACCAAATCTGGATCATTAGCACTCGGCTCAACGTAAGTAATACATATATTAATATCACTAAACAATTTCAGTTCTGTTTACTTCCTATTAAAGCAGTCAGGCTGCTGTCACATAACTACGGTCATTAGCATGGAGGCTAACTCACTACGCCGCAACGTTTCACCAACAGATATCCTTAAAACAATGTTACCTGGCTGGAGGGGCCATTCTTGATGTGCGGCTTCTGCTTCCTCTTGGCATTTTTTAATAAATATGGAACGTATTCAAGTGGTACAAATAAATGCCGAACGAAACGTGCTGCGTCGCCACTAGTTTAATCGACCTTTAGATTATCCGGAACTTCCTGTGCGTTACATGATATGTCATCGGGTAACTTCCTGTATGACGGAACCTTACGTGAACATTTAATCACTCCGACGTTTGTAAAATGACATACTATTCTAAATATTGTTCCCTTAGCCGTTGACATGATTCTTTTAAATGATAATCGATTGTAAATTTCTACCTTCGACGCCCTGTTTTTAATCTCAATAATGATGAAGGGTGATTGTTTATTACGTATTAACTTTTGTTTCCCGAGATTACACATTAGTGTACAGCAATATGACAAAAAGGTGATTCGACATAGTAATTACATATCATAAAATTCACAATACATTACTTGTTTTTATCAAATCTATTTTTGAATAAACACACCTTTCAGCCTTAAACATTTATTTTTTATTAAAGTCAGAAAAATAAAATGCTCAATTTTTATTTTCCATCCAAACGTAAAGCTTGTAATATTCACTCACATACTCGAAAGTGAAGTAAATCATTTTGAAACACAGCACAGAGACAGGCGTGTCTTTTAATTACAACAAAAAAGTTACAATTGTACATTATCAAATATAAAATTAAATATGATGCTGTGATTTCTAACCCTTGAATGCACACAATTACAGTATATTCTTTAACTAAAGCCAAGGGTTAGTTGACATGCTACTCCTTTTTGCCTTTCTTCCTACTTGAAAATGTACGCCGCTGATGGTGCCCACTTCCTGATCTGTAACCCTTTGCTCTTCTCTCCTCCCAAACCGGCATTGGTGGCTCAATTTCTCCTGGTCGTCCACCTCTGTCAGGAACACTGCCCATGCGTGCCTAGTGAAATCAAAGAAAACTTACAATATGTATTCTGCATTAGATTATTTTTCCTTTGTTCTGTTCTGCCATGTCTGGGGCTATACCTTGTAGACAGAAGTGCTTGGTCCAGCCTTGATTGACTCAATGAAGGACTGATCTTGTCTGGCAGCAAGCAGATGGGCCAAAGACACTGTGGAGGAGCTAGTGAGGGAGGAGAGAGGAGGCACTGAGGCCAGCACTTTTCTGCGCTCCTGAAAGAAAAAACAAACAAGTTTGATTGAACTAAAATATTTTACTTCATCCTGAATCCTAGCAAGCCGTTTATAGAATGGTGTTATAAAATTATCACTGGAAAGTGGTCTTCCAGGTGTCTGAGCAGATATTAAATATTCAAACAATATCAATTCACACTAGCGGGGTTTTTATTGTAAAGGTTAAATGACTAAAATGTTACTTGTTTAAAAAAATGATATCATACATACTTTTTGTTTTTCTCCCCATGCAAATGACTCCAATGTAACCTGGAAGCGTTTAACCATCATTTGCCACCGACACTGATAGTCCTTCAGCAAATGGTCACTGATCTTTTTCAGATTCACCTGAAAACAAAAGAGGAGGAATGAGATTTTCTAGGGTCATGCTGAAAAAATAATGTTTGGTGAATGGATTAGTTTTCTTACCCACTGCTCTGAGGTGAGGCTTTTGTCAAGAAGAGGGTCCATCATGCATCGTGAAGGTAGACGTGCCAGCCTTGACTCCACCTGTGTTTTAATACACATATAATTAAGGACTTAAGTCGCAGAAGTGTAATAATGTCATACAGAATCCTATAGTTTTTCCCAGGCTTACCTCACTCAACACATCTGCAAACTGAGAGGATGCATTCATGTCAAGGGCACGCAATAATAATATCCACTCAGCCTGCATCTCACCCCTTCTTCTCTCTTCATCCAAAACACCGGCACCATCAATACCTTCACCACAAAGCTCAGTGAGTTCATGACTTAAACCTTCTTCTTTCACTCTTTTCTGTTTTTCAGATTTCTCTTCCATCGTCTTCTCCTCAGGATACATCTCCAGATAGTTAATGATGCGAGCGGCTTGTAATTCTGACACAAGGAATTCTAAAGAAACATAAAATATTCAAAGGATCAAACACCTCTTTATTGCACATTTCAAATGCATATCCATAACAATTGAATGACATACATTTAATGCATAGCACAATTTGCTAAACTCTACCTATGTCTCACCAATGACTTTGTTGAGGACAGATGGCTCCAGCACCCCTGAGGTCAGCTCAGTGAGAGGGGAGAACATATTCGACAATAAACTTCTCAGCTCTCCCACTAGTATCACTTTACTTGATCCCACAGACTCTGTTAAGAGGCATATACACTTTTTTGTCAGTGAGAAAACAAACAAAAAAACTCTCAATCACTTTATTCTGATCTTTAATCTCCAAAAATGTCTCTCACCTTGTAGTTGTGGACATCTCTTCCTCAGCTCTGCACTCAGCCAGTTGAGCAGTGGACAGGGGAGCTCCTCACAACCACATTGATGCAAACAAGGGCCACACGGGTACCTGAGTAGAAAGTACAATGACCAGGTGAGACCAGGTGAGATTTCCAACCCTCACATTAGGAAAACAAACATAGTAAATGTTCTTTAACAAACCTAAAGTTAATTAGTATTTTTGCTTTCTTTACACAATTGAGTTTTACTTCATTGACAAAATGTTATCTTCCTTCTCCCTCTTCTGGAAAAAATAAATATTTCAGAGACACAGGAAATACATCAGAGACATTAAAATGTTAACTAGAATTGGTTGAATTGGTTTTGGATTGAATTCGGATTGAATTATTAAAAAAATGTTTAGGAAATTGAGAATATTATGGGGGTCATAAAAGCTACATTTTTCCTTTTTTGTATACAGTTTGTTGAATATACAAGTGTGTTTAAAGACTTGTGTATGCATATATTGTTATTAAAATAAACAAATAGTAGTTAAGTTTGCACTTTATGACACTCCGTTTCATTCATTTGTAAAATTCTAGGATAGTCTTGGTACGTAACGGCAGCAGAAGTTACCTAAAACAGCGTTTTATGATCATGCGCCCTCACACATACATACATTTCTTTTTCCTGCGTGTCCCTCTCGGGGATCCGTAAAAGGTCAATTGGAACTAACGTAAACTAAAACGACATAGCTTAGCCTCAGCTTCAAATCAGTAGACAATTCACTGCAGGTGTTTTGGTAATCCAAGTAAACGAAACCAAGGCAGTAATAATACTTACCCTAAAGATTTAATGGCGGCAACTGTTACTGCGTTCCTTTCCATTCTCTAGGTAACAACTACCAACACACATTAACACCTAGTACCCCACTCGGCACGTGAATCTGTGGTGGAACTTTGTTTGGGTGCGTTTTTAACGCGCAACCGACACACTCCTATGCACTATCACTCAGACTGCGCGTTCTCACGGAGCGTCGCCATGTTTGGGCTGTGCTTTTCCACTGAGGGCGGAGAGAATGTGGACTGTTTTAAAGGTATAGTATTTTAATATTTAAAAGCTCATAAATAACTTCTGTATATAAATGAATAATAAAATAAAGCTTTTATTTTCAAAACAGTCACTGTTATTTAATACAATGACTCATAACTAACTTATATCATTGATATAATTGTCGAGCACTGTCATCATCAGATAAAGTTGTTGATAAAATTATTTGTTAAGCAATTAAAAATCAAACAATATTATTTATGTAGATTTTGACCGTAATGTCGTACATTGACCAAATTTGAACAGTAGAAACAAAGTACAGAATGTTGTGTATTTAACCAAAATGCCCACTAGAGGCCGCTAGAGATGCAAGGTGTAAAGTCACTGTAAAAAAAGATAATGTAATACGCACAAAGTCAAAAGCTTTTGGTGGGATACATTGTGATTTCTTTTCCCTCTTCATATTATTATACTACCTATTGCTTTTGTCACTCCGTCTGTCGGTGTGTTATTTTTAATCTAATTAAAGATGAAAGTGGCAGCATCCGTGATATTAAGAACGTTAGCGTGTTATTGTAGTCCTTTCACTTACTCCATACATGTAAGAGCACCATTTTTCTATTTTTGGTTACAGATTTTTAATCATGTATCAATGGTACATGGTCTTGGGTTCTGTAGTTTTAGATGAGTTCAAGGAAAGACTTGCTCGGCAAAGTCAAACATCTGAAGCCAAGATCCTTGATTTACTTTCTAATATCATCATCACTCACTGTGCATGGGCCGTGCTTGTCTTTATTGTAATCACTTATTACATTTTTCTCACACTCAGCTCTGCGAACACCAGCACTAGTTTTGCTGATGCAGGCAGGACAACAAGTGTTTGCTCCAGTGGAGCAGTTTAGGTTCAAAAGACAGCAGTATAAATACAATTCATATTGTCAGGGAGCAGTGATTTAAAGCATTGACCAAGCCTGTATGGTTTCTTGGATTTGCTTGTGCAGCACACCTGCCGAGTCCTGGCTCACACAGCAGCAAACCTCGAAATTAGTGTCACCATCACTTTAGGAAACAGGCCTGTGTAATCTGACTCTGTGGAAGATAAACATTTTCTTTCTATTGTAATAAGTAGAGAAAGAGGTTTGATGTGTACATTTTGTTAGGGTTTGCCCAGTTGTTAAATAAATGGGTTGTCTTGTAAAACACCCTTCCTGTGAACCATGCGTCTAAAAAGAGGTTCCCGTCTTCTGTGGGCAATGTTTGACCACATGATAACTTCACTGCAGGTGGTTAGTGAGTCACTTCATCACACTTGAGGCACAAGTCACACAAGTCACTGGCAGCCTATAAACTGGGAACAATAAAGACAACGGCAGCGAGGCGTGCCTAAGCCTCCATGTACAGTGCTACTGTGTTTGCTTGACTCCTGCTGCCATATGCACCAGAAGCGGGGTCCTCTCGCATCACAAAAGCCTTGCCATGCGTCAGGATGCTATGTTCTTTTATTCTTCCAACACTGCACCCCGCCCAGTGAAACCTTCAGGGGGTTGACCTTTGTTCTCTGGCAGGGGGGCCAGACCAGTCAAGCAGTGGACTTGTTGAACAGTTGCTGTACGAAGAAGGAATGACACACAGCCAAGATTAATCTTGTAATTACCCAATTTTATTCAAATTTATTTTATTTCATTTAACTTAATTTTTAGTTATTATGATTTAAATAATTCATATTTAGTGTGGATGGCATTAAGGTTCCATATTTTCAGGCTTACATGTGCAGAAAAAAGATGGCTTCACCAGGCAGATTTTAGACTTAAAATAAACCGCATTGGAACTTCACTCAAATGTTTCGATGCAACTATTTCCACCAGGAAACTGACATATCTGGAGCTGCTGAGTCATTCAAACCAAGGCTCATAGACAAAATCATATTTAATGTGTGTTGTCTCATGTTGTACACTGGATCTTCCATTGTGTAGTTTTCTGATGGCTCGTATGAATACGACAAAGAAAAACTGATGGTTCCTCCACCCTAAACAAGACATAATGCACGTATCTGTATATGAACCTAGAAGCGGAAGTGATACAAAATGTACCTCTCACAGTAACATGAACAATAACAGGAAGACTGCACGGTGGTGTGTTCCCAGAGTGGGTTTTCATGCACACAGGACACTAACCAACAACAACACTTTAGTCACAGATTTCTGTCACACAACAGTTGTACAGCATAGGTGTATCTTCTCAGGGAAATAAATAAAAGAGACTTTAAAAGACTAAAATTGCTAAGTCAGTTATAGTAGATGATTAGCTTATTTACATAAAATATGAATGTTTTTTCATATTTGAATTTTTCTGTACAATTAAAGCACTAATCATTTTTAAATTATTATAAATTTTAAAAATATATAATATATATAATATGTTGATTGGCCTTTTTTTTATATTTCGTTAAAGATTTCCTCTCACTCTAATTCACCACCAGATGTTGCTAAATCCTTTAAGGAGGTAGTGTTTTGTAATGAAAAAATGAAACAGAATGAACAGTTAATACTTCAGGAGAGTGAAGAAACTGGTTCAACCTAATCATCACCTGTATGTGAACTAAAAATCCAGAAAATGTTCCAGAACCTCCCTGTAGATGAAAGGTCATCTTTTTGTCGTACATACATACAGTTTACAGCCAGAAAGTAATGATTGAGGACGTTTTTGTTTGTGAATTTCAAAAATTTGTTGTAGTTGTGGTAGCCTCAAATGTACCTGTGGATCTAAGTGACCTGCAGTGTCAATGGACAGATGACATCACCCAGGTGTTCCCCTCTGTCACGTTCTCCCAGTGAGTCAGCAGGATAGTCATCTGTCATTCTGCTGGTTGACAGTTGAGGGCGGAGTCAGTTGCTCAGGTGACTGAAACTAACTAGACAAAGCCATTATCCCATTACCACCACCATCATCATCGTCTGCTGCTGCTGACAGAAGGATCAACCCACTTTCACTGTGGCCGCTTCAGTCAAACCAGCACACACTCACAGAGGAGCAGCAGGAGGAGCAGCGTCAGACAGGTGTTATGGCCGCACACCTTCTCCACACGCGTGTGTCAGCCTTTCATCCAGAATCTGACATTCCAGCCTGAAGGAAAACACTACCAAACAAACAAAGAGAAACAAACAGACATCGGACCGACACCTGCGATGGATCGACTTGAGGAGTGGAGCTTTAAGGCTAAGAAGATGGAGCTGGAGGAGGAGGAGGACTTCTACTTTGACTACGGAGCAGAGGAAATAACAGATTATCAGGAGCCCAGTGAACTCCTGGTGGCTCTGAAACAAAAGGAGGAAGAAGTTATTTTGGCAGCGGAGCTGGGAAACGCTCTGCTTCTGGAAAACCAGCAGCTAAAAGAGCAGAGCGATAAGATCCACGAGCAGTACGTTGACAAGCTGGAGGTAACATCTGTCTGGGCTTTGACATATTTATTATATTTTGTTTCCGACAAGTTAGGATAAAAGTGTAAAATACCGGCGATACGCTGCGAAATATGCGGTTTTCGTAGCTGCTTTTGTTTGAAAGGAATGGGCGAAAGTTCAAGCAAGTGTTTGATCTTCTGGATTTTAGCTTTGGACCTAAAAAACATGACGTGTTTAATTTGCAAAGGTGGGAATTTATATTTTCACCGTCCAAACTTGTCATTTATCGATAAACTTACAATTGTAAAGGGTACGTTGGGTTTTTTTAATCTAGTAGGACTATTGTTAGGACAAACACTGAAACCAAACTTACGTCCTCCATGCGCAGTTATTGAGGATTGCTTTATTGTCAAATAATCCACTAAGTTTTCAGTCGTTTTTTTTTTTTTTTTGGAATTTTTTTTGTTGTGCAATGCTAAGCTCTTTGATATTTTGATTAGTCGTTTGCCATATTATAAACCACTTTTTCTACTTTTGAGGGGAACTAAAAAAAAATTAAGTGCTAATCCTTTTATTCATTAATGAACATCTTTTTCATAAACTCACCTCAGAAAAGAAACCAAAAATCTCGACGTTTCAAATGTGGATCCACATGTTAGTTATTATAAGGTCTTACTCACGGTCAGTCAACTGTAGCCAGCTATTGAGAATTCCTAATAATTGGGTAAATGATTTGTTTTCACTGCTGTTTAAGACATAATCTATAGCTGCAAACTTTTTTTTCTTGTTTCTTCTTCCTGTGTTGTTCTGCTTTTACTGTTCTTCGTCGTTCAATCATTCTTGTTTGGACTGATTATCAACTGTTGAGTATTGATTTTCTTTTTAATGGATAAACCACTGGACACTTGACTGACTGTTGCATTCTTAGTTTTAACAAGAAACATGTTCTATTGACATTAAATTTAAGAAGTTTAACACAGAAATGACGGACATTTAATGAAAAGTACTTGAAATAATCGTGAAAACGTCAGATAATGTTTTAACCCCAATGGACAAATTGTGTATTGCACTTGGTAGGACATCATAAGGGTTAAATGTATATTCTGTATTCATTTTAAATGACACAATGTGGTATAATGTAGCTTCTGCGGACTTACTGGTTGAAACAAATAGAAAATATGGTATATTATAAATATTTACTTTATAAAATACATTAAGTATTGACCTGGTCACCGCTTTTTACGGGGTTTATTTTAAAAAAGTGGTACACACTTGTGATAATAGAAGCGCTTCAGCCAGGGATGACTTTGCCTCAGTGATGAATACTTACATCCACTGAACATCTGCATAGTGCATATACAGTAGATCATCAGAGGAGTCCTGCTGCTGCCCCCTGATGTTAGGGATGGCTGAATAACTGTTGACAGGCCTCAGTTTTGTTGTACCCCTGCTGTACAATGAGAATAAAGACTATTCTATTCTATAATGGCTTTGTTGCATCTGTCAAGGTGAATGCAGATGCTTGGCTCAGGTGTTGAGGCTTATGAGGCGTGACAATGTTTGAATTACAGGGAGGTGAAAATGTACAGTGATGTGTCAGGAAGTCATTTGACTGAGTCTGCAGGAGAGGAGCAGACATGAGCATTCACTGAGCATCACTGTCCATGCAAGATTATTTTCTTTGTATTAAGATAAATTATTTATTTTTCATTCCTAATCCAAAAGCTCATTATGTTTTACTGCTCATTTGAAGAAAATATAGACTCATGTTTTAAAATATAAAATCAGACTTTCTGTACAATTAAATGTGTTGGGCTGACATCATTAGCATATTCTGCTATATACTTTCCAGGACTTAAGAAGCATCACAGACGCCTTGGTGAATATTTTCAAAGCAGTTGAGTCAGACTGTTGGTGAATGAGCTGTATTTATAGTTTGTCAAACTGACATTAATCCTAACTTATCTTTTCGTATTCATTAATTGTATTTGGCAGGAGCTGGAGCAGGGTAGGCATGAGCTGCGACTGAAGCTGGAGGGCTGCCAGTCCCAGTGGGAGAGTCAGGTGGGAGACCTGGAGAGGGATGTGAGGGAGCTGGGCGCCCAGGTGGAGCGGCTCACCCAGGCACTGAGCGAAGCAGAGAGGGACAAGAGTCGAGCCCAGCTGGAGCAGGGCGAGTACGCTCAGAGACTGAGGGAGGAGCTGAACACGGTGAGTGGAACACGGAGACTTTTAGACCTTTCAGCGTTATAACTAAGTCTTTGTATCAGATGTGATTGTATCTGCACCACATGACGTAACGGTGAACTATAGGAGGCTCCAGCGGTGACAGGTAACTGAGCCTGGGTGAAACAATCCCCTGTGGAGTTAAAGCTGCTGGCCTCCCTCAGGCTCAATGCACTGCCATCGAGGCTGCACAGTGAAACTCTCTGGTATCAGTCTGAGGAGCAAGGACACTGTCTCATTCTGTTTGTAGCCAACGAATAGAGAGACAAAAAAAAAGGTTTTGTCTGATTGTCAGGAGCTGTGGAACTGTATCTGAGTTGTGGACTTAAGGCTAAGAATCTGGTGAATGTGGAGAAGGATGCAGGAATGTATGAAGGATAATTGGAAGTTGATACCACAAGTTGATGTTACATCTAGGACACAAGGAAGTTTAGTCATGAAGAAAACAAGGTTAACAGACAGGCCCTTTGGATACTGTTACGGATACTGACTTACAAAAGCGGAAAAATATTTTTTAATCAATTATTTAAATCTAATTCATTTATTCTCATTTTCTTCTTCTTTGGCAGCAAACTTAACGTCATTTAATTCTCTACATTATTTAAACAAGTCATTATTATATAACCCGCTGCTGCCTTTCATGAAAACATTAACCCGGATCCAGTTTTTTTCCCCCTCAGAACCGTGAGGTTATCTTTTAACAGACGTACTTCCATGATGTAATGGGTTTAGAAGTCCTGTGTTTATGATCCCAAGGAAACGCTGCCACACTGACAGGAAAATCAAAGTGGTCTGATATTTTTACAGCTTCTTATCAGCTGACACTGCACAGCAGATTAGTCCATGCAGCTGGTCGACCGTGAGTATTTTTCCAGCCAGAGAAATTCAAGATGGCTTTACGGAACATCATTATTATTATTGTTATTATTACAACTTTTTTGTCGTTCCGTGGTGAACTTGCCTGTGCTGTTTTGATGTGATCGTCATTGAAGTTAATAATAAAAAGAGCACAGGGCCCACAGGGAGCCGTTTCTGCTCCAGGCTGAGCTACTGATTTTGTGCTAACGAAAAAGGAAAGTAAAGTGAAGTCAGTGTTTAAAATCTGAAATGGATTGTTCTGGAAACAGCCAAGAACCAGGTGAAGTAGTCGCAGAAGTACTGAATGGTTCTGCTGCCTGTTCTCTGCTGTCTGCTGTGGTGTGTGAAGTTTGTCTACGAGAACCTGTGTTTGTTAAAACAGTGTCCACAGTAATGAGTTTCTATGTCACACCATAAGGATGTATACGTCATGGCCTGTCTGTAGGCTGAGTTTTAAGATTTATTTGCTGAAATCAAAGGTAGCTGTAGCATCTTAGGTTTCAACTTGTCTGTTGTCTGAGTCTTGCTATGGCTTAGCTTTTAGCTCAGCTGTTTCTGTTACACCTTGGCCAATGTGCATCTAAATGGAGTTCTTCTTTGAAAACTCATGGATCTTCAGATGTAATGACGCAGAAGCTGCACGGTTTCACACAGCCTGTTATTGTGAGAGTGTAACCAGAGTCTGAGTGGAATCTGAAAGAGGTTGATGGTTTCACAGCACAGAAACCTGAGACAGAAAGAATCCATTGAGTTCATCAAAAGTAACAAAGTGACACACTGACGTTAGAGGTTTGATAACCTGTCAGTCTGTCTCCTGGAGCCTCTGAACCAGAACATCACATGCTGGGGGTTTTAACAGTAGTTCACACCACAAGAGGAAAAAGTGTCAAACTATCAGGGAGTGTAAAATGATGCAGGGGTGTGTTCCTGTGTATCATGTTACACATTCACTGGAAAACACCTGAAGTTCCTTAAATACGTGCGTCTGTGTAGGCTCTCATCATCAATATCACCTTTTCCAAAGTAGTTCCATCAACAAAACCTAAATAACTTAAATAAATAACATGGAAAAACCTAAAGGATATGGAATTATTTGAACTCAAGCAAGAAAAATAAAACAGTCAACTTTTAGTTTCACTCTTGTTCAAAAACTTCTTGATGTTATCAATGTTTATAGAAGTGGACGAAACACGTACCAAAGGAGTAGTGCCAGGCTGCAAAAGGGAGTGTTTTTCTAACCAAGACCAGCTCAGCATGCTGATAAACCTCAGTTTGTTTATTGTTTTTATAAGGAGCCAAGGAAAACATTCATAAAGGTAGTTTCAGGAGTTTTCATTAATCTGAGACTCTAAAAAACATGGAACCACTTGTCCTTTGACTCCGAAAGGAGAGAAATACCAAAACTATTTCTGAATATATGTTTTTTTTAAGTGGAGCAGAAGCAATAATAATGTGACAGGAGTGGTTGTTGTTGAGTTTTCCCATTAAATCTCCAAGCAAAATTGGAGCTTTTCCAGCTTAAGGAGTGGACTTTACTGGGAGTAATCTGAAGATAACGTTTGTGAGATTCCCAAAGTATTGGAATTCATCTGCCAGTAATCAGAGAATTTATGAAACTGAGAGCAATTTTGGGGAAAAGACAGAATATTGACTTTTTTTCACAACCACATTAGTCTGGAGCCGGTGCATTACTGTAGGTATGAACTCTACTTTGGTTATGTGTAGGTGAGAATGGGATTTGAAAGAATTAAACACATAACTAGGGTAAAATCATTTGCAGTATTGATCAGATCATTTTTGAACACTTTATATATTTACACAGATTGATGTGCACTGTGTACCCAGTAATCCCACCTTCCACTTCTTTATCATTGCTCTAATACACAGCCAATACATGTGCTATTTACACACAGTGTAAAGAAAAGTTTTAATTTCACTGGAGCACCTAGAGCTTAATAGGAAGTTTTGAAAGTAATTCTTAACACATTCTACAAAGCAACATACTGACTTGAATCCACCAACTCGATGAAGTTTTGAATTATACATTTGCATATTTTTGTGACATTTTTCCATATTAATAATGCAATAATTTGGATTAATCACAAATAAAAATGGGTGTGAAACACAGACTTCTATCAGCTGTATTTTGTTCTTCTGTTCCAGCAGAAACAAAGTGATATTTATCATACTGAGGAATAATGATTTATCACAATTAATCATGATTAGTTGTTATCAATTTCAAAGTATTAAATGAGTAAAACTCACTTTCTACTCAAAGTGTAATCTACCTGCATTTAAATCTTTAAATAATTGAAGTGGAAACATCATCCAGTTGTGGCTACAAGTATTTGATTCCTGTGGTTTATGTACAGTACAAGGTTAGGCTGGGGGAAAAACTGTATCAGGTTCAGTTTCCCACCCACCAAATACTCCCCCTGCCCATGAATCACTGTGTTATTGGAAAACTGTGACAGATCTCTCTGGGTGGATTTCCGTTATTGTAAAAGGAGACGCCAAACTTGAGCGAAGCCCCCTCCTCCTGACCTCTGCTCCCTCCAGCAGCGTCACCCACCCTTCTCCTAGACAATAAGCTTAGCCAGGGTAGATGGCACAGAGATATAAATCTTTCATTTGCTCTTTTGAAGTTGCTCTTCATACCCAAACATCCCATCGTCCCATGGGAAAGCCCATCTTTTCTGTCTTCTCCCTGGGGGCCTTGGGCTGTAGCTGGGGTAGTCAGCTGTTCAATGCCTCTCTGTTTCAACTGATAGAGGCCTGAGGCCTGGGGTGGTGGGGGCCCGGGTGAGAGGGGTGTCATGTGTGTGAGCATCCTCGCACAGCCAATGTTTTGGTGGTTCTCAGTGGGTGGCTGGTCGCTATTGTAGAAGAGACCAGTGACTGTGCAGTGTAATGACAACCCATCTGCAAAAACATGCATGTTTAAGCCCACCCCCCCTTTCCCTGCCCCTCCACTTCCACCTCCTCCTCATACTCTGTCTGCATGCCATGTTTTGTATTTGTCCATCGGTGCATGCCTTACACTCAGACACACGCTCACAGACGTCTCAGTAATTTTGCTTGTCACGCGTCCATCACTTCCTCCTGTAAACTCTAGTAAACACAAGCTGTTCCCTTAATGTTTGACCCCCCTAGTCCCTCCTCNCGATGACGCCCTCCACTCCATCTGCTGCAGAAGCCACTCTTTCATCAGGCATTTTGTGGTTATGATTAGACCTGACAGGACCCCCCAGCCCCCGTACACCCTACCCACACTGACACACACACACACACACAGTCTGCCGAGCAACAGAAACAAAGGGTCCAAGGTGATGCCAAGAATTCGCTGTGAACCACATAACATTTTGGCTGCTGTTTAAATCATAGTGGCGTATTGTGTATTTAATGAAGTACTACAGTCAAACTGTACATTGTATTGTTCATTTACATGTTCAAATAGAAGGATAAATATGCCCACGTGCTGATGTCATTGTTTTTATTTCAACTGCAACAATACACAACAGAAACGCTATCACCATGTATTTTGCTGTTAGAGACGTAGCAAGTGAGCTAAATGTTCTACTGGGTAACCAAATGCGACACCAAACTTCCTGTAGTTTATGTTCTTCCCCGTCTGGATCTTAGATTCCTAGGAAGAAAATCAAAGAAAAAAAGGAAATACTTAAGTCTTCCAAATTTTGTTCCACCCAGATTTTATCTTTGGACCCCACTCTGATTTAACTGCAGAGCTACTGCATGATTTAACTGTGTCAACTGCGTGACACGAACACACATTCAGTACAGTAGGAGTTGATCACACTCAGATGCTGCAGGGCCAACAGACAGAGAACTCTGTTAACTTATCCCAGTCTCCTCCAGCAGGTATCATATTGTGTTACCTCTCATTGGGATCTAGATGTTTGGATGTTTTGTTTATTCTCAGCTCCAGGATTTAGTTCTCATTTCTCTGAAAGCTCGTGCCTCAGGGCAGGTTTTGGAGTGAGGCATGTGTCTCCTCTGCATTGGTTTCTGCACCAAATGTTTCTCTGATCCTCTCCTTATGTTAGTGTATGCAGGAAGGTATGAGCAAAAAAAAACTAAATGTCTGTGCACATTTGCTTCTTTTGTGTGTTGTGTTAGGCAATGGAGGTGGAGAAGGCCATGTCCACTGAACTGCAAGCTCTGAAACAGGAGCTCCAACAGAAGGGAAACCAGAGCAGGCCTCAGGACGAGGAACTGATCAGTGCCATGAAGGAGCAGGTGAAGATTGTACTTCAACATTTTAACAAATAAATACTCTATCTAATTGGGAGCTAATCTGAGGTGTGACCATTTAAAAAGAAAACAGTGTAACACCGTGTTCTTTCCCTTCTGTGTGAACTGAAGACTGTGTGTATCCACCACTGTCTTCTCTTCACTCTGATTGGCTGGGTTGGTTGAAGGTTTACTTGCTGGCCTAAGACTTAGTCAACAAGTTTCTTTTCCTAGACAAAATGACTGACATTGATTTTGATTGACTAATAGAAAGGAGAAGAAAAAAATCAGGTAAGGACAATGTCCAATCAGAGTTTGCTAATTTGTTTGCTAGAAGGTGGGGCATCTAAACAGAGAGGTCCAATCATAGTAAAGGTGTCTATATATATAATATAACTATATATCTACAGTATATTCATGTGTATATATGCAGACTCCATCAGTTACAATTGGGAATTGAACCAATGATCTTTTTGCTTCCATGTTTTAGACCTCACTCAACTAATACATTAATATTAGCTAATAAATGAGTGAACATTTCAGGGATAAGTTGGAGTTTTCCTTGCAGAGAAAAATATCATCCTTATAACTTGTGTGTGTATCATCCAGGTGCTGCGTCTGACCCAAAAAGAGCAGATGTTGGAGGAGCGTTTGAAGAGTGTGTGTCAAGAGAACACTGAGCTGAGGGCCAGTTTGGCTTCTTTGAACACTCGTCTGGCTCTGCAGGAACAACTCAACCAGGAGCAGAGTCAGCAGGTATTCACTCACAGCACAGTGAGAAAACACAGGCAGGTCAGCACTGACTGAGGGTTAGGACAACAGGAGTTACTCTCCCAAGCTGTGGTGGTGTGATTTTTTTATCTTATCATTTACATGTTACAGTCGTGTCACTCAAAAGAAGGAATTTCATTTGCATGTGTTAAGTTTCATGCGGGACTCGGGGCTGGAATCTGGAATTTCAGGATTCAGGAGTATCAACACATTGCTGTCTTTTATTTTCTTTTGGTTGAGGTGAAGTCAATGGTAATGGCATCATTCTTTAGGGGTAAGTCATTTCCTTTCAGTTAACTGTCAGAAAAAGAGACAAGTCCTTTATTTGTCCCACAGTTATCACTCTTTTGCAAAACAAATTACTGTTACAGTCTTTTAAAAAACAGACATTGATAGATCTGATTGGTCGGTCCAGATGTCCATCATACATGGATGTGTCTTGAATGAAGTTTTTGTGGCTGAGTGAACATTAAACATCCATCCATTTCATCTAGTCAGACAAACACTAAGTTGTGATTCTACCTGTGTCTACTGTATTGTCATACGTGTGTGGTCCTCTGTTGTCTTTAGCTAACACAGGCGTGGCAGGAGGTGGAGATGACACGCAGTCGCTCACAGCAGCTGCAGGTTCAGGTGGAGGAGCTCCAGGAGGAGGTGTCGCTTCAGGAAGCCAGGAGCCAAGGAGACGCCTCTCTGTTGTCTGAGCTGGAGAGCAGTCTGGAGACCGCAGGACTGGGAGTCGACAAAGACCAGGTGGGCTCAGAGCTCAGAAAGCATGGATTATTACTATTTTTATTACACACCATCAGCACACAATATAAAATACTGGTGAAACTAAAGGTTAACATCCTAATGTACACAGAGCTGTAGACTGGCAGTAGACTGCTCACTGTGTCTGCAGTGAGAGTCAGTTTGACAGAACACCTTGTTCCCTGTGGGTGTGTTTGTGTGTGTGTGTGGGGGGGGGTCTGGTCTGGTCTGTGTTTGATTTAATAACACAATCTGAGTTTTCAAACTGAACACTCATCTGCGGTTATTGTTTTGGTTCATCTGGAAAATGTGATGTGTTGTTGCACTCGTGACTCATTGTCCACGTTTCCTGTTGTCGTGGCATCAGTGAAGAGACTTGTGTCTTTTCAGCCCATCTGCACAGTGCTGTCTAGTCCCTCTTCACATATATAATCAAAAATACTTCATTGTTTTCCTAGTATCACTATGTATGTATACATTTTTGTGGATACAAGTGTTGAATATACTGTATACATTGTTGTGTTCAGAACATAAGGAACATACAAGGAATTTGACTTGGTTTATTTATTAAGAAAATTAAATTGGAGAAACAAATATAAAGCTTGATTGCCAAAATTAAATAATGATTAAATAACAAAATAAGTTCCATAGTAAAATAACAAAGTTAAGCATTTATAAATTCTATAATCACCTCAACCCACACGTTTCCCCTGTGATTTCTTTCTCAGATAACACAAGAAATTCAGTCCATCCTTCAGCTGCTGCTGCCACTGACTCTGAACCCAATCAGTTCAGATTCTCTGGACCAACAGGACAACGTTCAGGTGACTTTGCAGAGGCTGAAGAGCGTGGCCCAGAAACTGGTGCAAGGACCCAGCCCTGAGGTGAGTGAGAGCCACACAGCATGAATAGGTGGAGCAGGAGAAGAGACTGTGCAGGCGTGGGGGTGTTTTGTGAAATCTGAGAAGCAGATATTACACCCAAGATTGTTTTACTTTGCCTGTGCAAGGAGAAAGTAATTTTAGAAGTTGAATGTGAATAATTAAGGCGGCCATGTTGGCGCCTGTTCTACATCCAGTATATGCACCATATCCTAAACTCTGAGATTCCTGATTTAAACAAATTAAATTTCCTCACATCTTATCTAATTACTGCTGCTTGATTCGCCCTCTAGCGGTGTATAGTGGTACTGTAGGCTTGCAAACAGGCATCTAAGAACTTCCAAACCTGTTTAAACAGAAAATGCCAGTCATGGCGAGATTCACTCACGCACTTGAATTTGTGTTATGTGTGACGGTGAACATGTGCAGCTGTCGGGCCGTGTCTCACAGCTTTTCGTGGATCCGTCAGACTCGTAACATGGATTTATTACTGTAACTAAATATTCGCATCAGACCTCTTCCTCCCTCGGAGCCAGGTACAAATAGGCCCCGGACAAAGACACTGATCTCTTTGTTAATGCTTCTGTTCCAGGAGCTGAATCTGGCTTTTGTCGACAGGTCGGGTGATCAGGGTGGGAATAAGAGCGCAGTGCAGGAGCTGAGAGATCAGGTAACTGAGTGTGGAACAAACACTTCACTCAGGGAAGAGCTGCACCTGTGGCCACACATTATCTTAGAATTGGTTTCACTGACTCTGACCTTATTACTGTGTCTGAAGTAAATTATCAAAAGACCATTGTGTAATTAATGTGTCAGTCTAATCAGAATCACAAATACATTTGCTTTTAGTGTAATGACTGTCAATTTTTTTTATTTGATTAAATTAAATTAATTAAATTATTTAAATAATCGTGAATTACCATGACTCTAATTAAACATTTTTAACCACAAATAAACCTGATAAAAAACCAAAAAAATGTTGCTACCCTTTTCTACATGTTTTGTTGTTCACAAGAAATGAATCAGGTAAATTGAATATTAAAAACCTTTATGCCTCTCATGTTTCCCTCCTTCTCCTGCACCTCCAGAACACACAGCTACAGCAGGAAAACACACAGCTGAGGCAGAGACTGCAGGAAGTTGAAGAACAAGGTGAAGTGGTCCAGCAGGCCATCAGAGACCGAGATGAAGCCATAGCCAAGTAAGATGCTGCCTCTTGTTTAATTTCAAAGTTCAAAACTGCTTGATTTTTTTTTCTTCTTGAATCCTGACCTATAATAAAAGTCAGTTTTAAAAAGACCGACTCTCTGATATTTAACTGTTCTGTGACTCTTCACAGGAAAAACCTGATGGAGGTGGAGTTGGTGAGAAGTAAAAATGATATGATGTCTCTGAACAACCAGTTACTAGAAGCCATTCAACGTAAACTGGAGCTGTCACAGGAGCTGGAGGCATGGCAGGTATGTCTGTTATACTGGCTGCACATTTAGTGAACGCTGTGATGAGCTGTGGCACAGATCAAAACACATGCTGTGACTGAAGATAACAGGCAGCAGATGTGTGGTTCAGGGACAAATCGTCATTTACAGTGTGTATCAGCCCCGTTGTTGGGCTTAAATGATAAGAATAACAGATGTCTCCTCTCCATCTAGTCCTTCAGCTGCTGAGGGATTTTGCCAAGTGGATCAACAACATGCATTTTCATGACAATCATAAAAAACTAATACATAACAAAGCTCTGATTCACTGGGCAAATAATTGTATTGATTTTGTTGAACACCACAGACTTTTGCCAAATTTCAATTTGAATACATACATAATCTTTGAAACTTAGACAACTTGCTTATTTTTTCTCCACTTCCTTCCTTTCCTCAGGATGACATCCAGATCATCATCAACCAGCAGCTCATAACCCAGCAGCAGTCGGAGCAGCCTCAGAAGAAGCCCACCTCCAACGGCATGTCCTTTTTCCGCAGACCCAGCAGGACAACGTCCCCTTGGTCCAACCACTCCTCCTCCACCTCACCGTCAATTTGGCGGTCGGACTCCAACCAGGACAAAACACAGCCACTCTGGAAGGACTGGTTAAGACGAGGGAAAGGAGTACAGTATGGAAAATAATGGACAATGAGTTATGAAAGGGTCAACAAGGACAGAGGAACATAACCAATCGATGTCCACAAACTTTAAACTAGGTGCACAAAAGCCACAGAAACACTACATTAAATATGGAACAACAGAGCCACACTGGACAACAACCTTTCAAACTTTCTACTGAGAGGCTGAGCCTTTGGAAAGACGACGATAGCACTCTAATTTTCACGAGCTCAGTCTGTAAATACTGTGCCTTATTTTGTACTGCTGTGAATGTATTTTCTTGTGATACTACATGATGTAAATATAACTGTAGATGTAGAAGAAGATAGAGTTTGGATTATTACAAAGTGCTATCTGGGAATTAAGATCAGTGTTCACTTCCAAGTCCTTAAACAACTAAAACTATGATCAAGAACATTTATTTTGTATTAACATCTTGTTGTTTTGATGCTTCTATGACCCTAAAAAATGTTTTGTACCAGATGACATGTTAAATTATGTTTCTGTGTAAAGCAGACGCATCTACTGTACATGTATATGCTGTGATTTCACTGGACAAGAAACTGTGCTTTGTCCCCTGACTGACTACCACATAATTTCATAAAAGAGTAAAGATTCTTTTGAGAAGATATTTTAATGTGTGTGTTTGAGTTTAGTAAATAATAATAATTTAATGTATAATACTTAAGACACCCCTCCATGGCTTCCAGTTATACAGTAATAGAAGAAGGATTTAAGCCAATTAAATAGACAAGGAGTCCATGTCAATTAGTACATTTAATTAATACAATGCACTGACTGGCCTAGGCCTCGTGGAGTTATTATTATTATTATTATTATTATTGGTAGAGATGGGATGGCTGTTGCTCAGTGGATAGTACTAACTTGTGTTCCCCTGGATGGTTGTGGGTCAGATTCCAGACTTGATGTTATGTTATGTGCCACCCTTAGGTAAATGGCTAATTCTTTTACCGTTATTACCTTGATCACTCAAGCGCTTTAAGTGATCAAGGATTAGATGAGAAGAGCGGAACAATTTATCACGTGTATAAAGTTATGACGTGTGCCAAACACAGCATCAGAAAAGATGAGTGCAGTGTTGCCCCCTGCTGTTGAAGGAAATAGAGATATGAAAAATCGGAAAACCTTTCCTAAAATAAAATATTTATTTGAATGTTAAATCACCTCATTTTGCCAAATGAGCCCCTTATCTTTACAATGTTCTATTGATGTCTTAGAGAAATAAACAGAGTAATATACACAAAAACAAACAATCAATGTATTCTTTTTGTGCTCTTTGCACGTGCTCGCATTAAAAATATTTGGTTTACATGTATTCCCGATAAACTACACGGAGGAAAAAAACTATCAAAGTTCTTGTCGATTGTCTGTCTTATCTAAAATTGTTCATTAAAGCTGACGTTTTGGCGCACGTTGATGACGCCACGCACCTCTGTTTACCAAGGAACTCCCACTGATTTCGTTAGAGAACTAAATTTAAAACGGAATACAGACACTTGCCTACACCACACAGGTACGACGATATAATTTACTGCTTATGTACATTGTTACCACTCATTGTGCGTGAATCAGTTTAGCATTTCGCAAAATTGGACGTTGAAATAAAGCTGTGCTGAGACCATGACGGCTTAGCTGCCAAACTAGCTCATTAGCTTACCTCTGTCACGGGGCTAAATGTGCTTTTAAAATGCTCCACGTGTGAAGTCATACCTCATAAGTATTACGTTTATTTGTTTTAGGCATATGTATATTTCTTTTGGCTGTGAGATACTGGAATTATTAACAGTGGCAGGACGTTTGAACTGAACAGCTAAAGCGGTGAGCACACGAACGGTTACCGGCTAAAGCTGTCAGTTGGATGAGTGACTGTTGTGGTCTGTGTAAAACAGTCTCTGAGGAAACTGTCACACTCGGATTGAACAGCTTTGACGGAATCCTATGCATTATTTTTGTAATCGATAAGTTTCTTAACGATTTGACGATGTTTAATGCTGGGTCCATGTCTTTGGACATGTCTTTGGACATTAAGAAAATCTGTAGAGTTAACACTCTACAGGTTTTCTTAATGATTAAAATCAGGTTCTGGTTCCATTAACAGTACGTTTTGTTGGTAGCTGACCAACTATATTCAAGTTGGCATTGGTTCATTGAAACAACTTCGCAGGTTCTCAGTCCCCAGGTTGTTTATTTAAAACAGTTACGAAATAGGCAGCTGGACTGGTTTAGAGCCGCGGGTATAATGTGTTATGTAATTGAATAATTATTTTTGACGTTTTTACAGGAACTAGCAAATTTGAATAAGCAAAATAAAACGTTTAAAAATAACAGCAAGCTAGTCATTTATTCTAAAACCAGCAGAAACAACAACATAAAAGTTATAAAAAGAAAATAATGTTTAAGCTATGTTACAAAGATATAACAACAACTGTAACATATAAACATATAAAAGTGTATATCAAATTCTGCTGATTTATTTTAAAGTGCCACGCTAAGCATCTATCGTTCAGTCTTCGTAGACCAGGATTAAAAAAAAAAAAAGATACTGCAGCAGCTGGACATATCCAGACGGAGGCAGTATTGCTAATTAATTTGCACACTACTTGCTGCTTAAAGGTAAATTTGGGTAAAGCTTTGCAACACACTGTGTAAACGCAACATGTTGCAGGTAAATATTCCTCCCAATGCTTTTGGAGCATGTAGAGAACCACAGTTATCAGTTAAACAGTTGTTTTACTGATAACTGTTTTCAGTTTGTTAACTCTGGGCTCAAATAATATTTTCTGTCTTATTTCCTTCTTTAGGCTGGGATCTTGGATGAAGTGAGTGTTGAGCCCCAGTGAAATGACTGACCAGGGCAACAACAACCAGAACATCTCCTGCAACCCATTTGCTGCTCTTTTCAGCTCACTTGCTGATGCCAAACAGTTTGCATCAGACCAGAAATCCCAGCAGCCCTCTGAACCACCACGTAAGAGTAGTTGTCTAGTGACTGTCTGTGTATGTATGTCCTTAAATGTACATGCCTGTACTTCTGATGCTATAAAGTTTTTTAAATACATTTTTTAACATGGCTTTTTTAAACTGCTTAAACAAATGAAAGCAGCCACTTCTATCCAGATAGTTTCACTCTCAACCCGAGGTTCTTTTGTTACAGAAGAGGAGTCCGGAGAGAGCCAGTCAGACTCTGATAATTCGGTGTCGGACAGCGTTGACGAGAATGATGACTCTGTGGCAGAGATCAGCCGCTCCTTCAGGTCCCGTCAGGAGCTGTGTGAACAGCTCAATGTCAACCACATGATCCAGAGAATATTTCTGATCACTCTGGACAACAGTAAGTAATCATCTGGGAGAACATCAATGCAAACAATTTATCTTAGACACATATTTTTTAAGTGTCAGGATGGGATTCAAAACAGCCGTCCTCCGATAACCATCTCAATCCTCTTACTCTGTTGTCACTTTTAAAATGTCTATACTTACTTCCATTATTTGGATTAGTCACGGAAAAAGTGAAGCACCTGCTGTTACCTGTCTTTTGTTACAGCAATATACAGAAATAAAAGTTTGAGTCATTTAAAAGGCAAAAATGAGAAAAAAAGACGATGTCAAGCAAGATGTCTCCTTGACATTGTAGTCTTACTACAACTGCATCTGGTGCAGATCTTGAATATGTTTTTTTTTAAATTCCAGTAAGTACATAATGACTCACCAGCCATTAAGACAGCACAAAGACTTAACATGATGAGAAGGTCGCACTCTGAGTGTTTCTCTTCACGGATGTTAAAGCTTCAGGATGAGTCATGCTTTACTGGGAATACACACTAAAAAGTCCCTTTGGTTTTCAGAGAAAGAGACAGAGTGACATCATCATTGATGTTTGTAGACCACTGACCTATAGGTTAAAATAAATTATCTTCATTTAATTACCGTGTTGCATTAAAACATTTCCAATATTGCTTTGTTATTGTATTAACACATGTATAGAAATGAAATCCCGGGGCAAGTACCTTTAGGAAAATATTAATACATAAAAACATTTTATTTTGGGTTTTATACAAATCATATTTGTCCAACATGAGTTTATGTTTAACCAAAGGCGATCCAAGCCTCAGAGGAGATAATGGGATCCCTCCTCGCTGTGTGTACTTGGAGGAGATGGCTGCAGATCTGGATGGGCAGGACTGGTTGGATATGGACAACATTGAACAGGTCAGAGGTCACCAGCATATTTTACTAATGAATCATTTAATTTATTTGTGTTTTTTATGGAAGTCAAGAAGCTTTTAATGTGTTCATGTTTGAGACAGTTTTTATGGTTTGGTCTTTTAATTTTGCAGCAGTGTGATAAAGTTTAATTGTCATGGGTGAAGATGGTACCCTCTTGTGGCCATAGTTGACATAGGATATTTTTTTAAATAAAGGTTACTTTGGAATATTAGTCGCAGGTCTAGCAAAACTACTAAAATATTTTGACTAATGCGCTCGTCATCTGTGTAATTTTTTTTTATTATTGTGTCCATCAGGCTCTGTTTAATCGTCTGCTGCTACTGGAGCCAGGAAATCACCTCATCTATATGACATCATGTAGTGCTGTAAACCTGTCTGCTGACCGTGATGCTGGAGAGAAATGTGCCGTCCCTTACCTTTTTGATTGTTACCAGAGGGCAAAAGAAGAGGTGCAAAATGTCCTGACATCTACTCAGTCTAACTATTTTATTTAAGCTAATAGTTTGTTATTTATTAAAAAACACCCGTGTCTTTTTGTGACTTTTCTGTGAGCAGGTGAAGAAAGTACCAGAGAAGCTGCTGTCATTTGCTGTTCACTGTAAGAATCTGACTGTTTCCAACACACGGACGGTTCTGCTTACACCTGAGATCTATGTCAGCCAGAACATCTATGAGCAGCTCGTGGACCTGTTTCGAGATGGTTTCAGTGGAGCCCGTAGGTTTATCTCTAAATCCGTTTTGTCCTGACGTTGCCTTTCTTTTCTCCTCACTTTCTCATTCTTCACATTCCTATATGTCCCTCGTGTTTCAGAGCCAGAGGAGTTGGTTGAGTTTGTTGAAGAAGTCATTGCCGGAATCATCTCTGACCAGGAGGTCCGTACCTTTGAGGAGGTGATGGTCCCGGTGTTTGAAATATTTCATGGGCGCGTCAAAGACCTGGACCTGTGCCAACCTCTCCTCTATTCCTACTTAGATGTTCTCCTCTATTTCAGCCATAATAAAGACATTGCAAAGGTCAGAGGACACAGAGGTAGTATTTTTGTAAATTAAATGTACATTTTTAAAACAGCAGATAAGTTATTTCGTAATTAAAAACTAGATAATGTGCCATTTACAACTTCATAAAACAGCTCATAAATTCTTTATTAGTTGCTTGATCGGGTCACAAAATTTCAAACCATTCTCTTTTGTTGTGTTTTTTTTAGGTGTTAATGGAATACACCCAACCCAAAGACCCAGCCAATGGTCTGCAGTACCAGAAAAGCCTATTGGGGTCAGTCTTGAATATTTCATGTTTGTTAAAAACTCCAGGCATAGTGGAGGGACACGGCTACTTCCTGAACCCCTCACGCTCTAGTGCCCAGGAGACAAAGGTTCAAGAGGCCAACATTCATCAGGTTAAAAAATATATATATTTATTATATTTTGGCCTTAGTCTGTTTAACTGTCTGATTTAAATGATTGGCCTTCGTCTGTTTAACTGTCTGATTTAAATGATTCTTTCCTGTTCACCCTTGGTTACAGTTCATGGGTCAGTTTCACGACAAGCTGCACCAAATCTTGAGGAATTTGCTCCAACGCTCTGCCGAGACGCGCCACCTGCTGCTGTCATGGCTGGGCAACTGCCTGCAGGCCAACGCGGGCCGGGCGAAGATTTGGGCCAATCAGATGCCGGAGATCTTCTTTCAGATGTATGCCTCTGATGCTTTCTTTTTGAATTTGGAGGCAGCCCTGCTGAAGCTGTGTCAGCCTTTCTGTAGGCCTCGCTCACCCAAACTCCTCACCTTCAACCCTACGTACTGTGGCCTTAAAGACCTGAGTGAAGACGAGAGACGCAATCGCAGCGTGCATGCTAAAGGTGCCTTTAAATATTAGTCATTGTTGACACAATGGCTTTAGTATGATTTCTGCTGAGAGAGATCAGATTTATACATCAGTTGTATCTTCCTGTGAATGAATGATCACCCATTTATAATAACAGGTCTGGACAAAGAAACCTGTCTGATCCCTGTGCCTCCTCAACAGCCGGTGGAGTTTGCACAGTCCTACAGTCTGCTGACAGAAAACCTCGTCCTCACACAACTCACCCTGCATCTTGGCTTCCACAGGTCACACCTTCAAGATTCTTCTTCTTTAAAGAAGGCTGTCAAAATTTAATTCTGCTGGCGCAGAATGACAGCTGTTTACATTTAATGTCTCCAATAATTAGACCATCTATCTACTTATTCAGATAATATATAATCATGATTATTCATTATTATTTGTGATAAAATCAACAGCTAGCCTGTGAATAATCAGGTTAAAATGTTAAATCATTTAACAGCTGTACTTTAAAGTCACTGTAGATGTAAAATAATCTCTTCAATGTGAAATGCACTCAAATTGTTTTGACCCACTTCTGTATCCAGACTCCACGAGCAGATGGTGAAGATGAACCAGTCTCTCCACCGGCTCCAGGTGACGTGGCAGGAGGCTCAGCGGAGTAACAGCCCCATGTCGGAGCAGCTCCTGGAGCAGTTTGAGCGTCTGATGATTGTGTATCTGTCAACCAAAGCTGCCACCACGCAGCCTGCTGTGCTGCAATGTTGCCTCAACCTCCAAGCTTCTACAGCTGCTGTGCTGGTTCAGCTCGGCCTGGGGAACCAGGGGCCTGAACATGTAGCACTCAGTTTCCCCCTGCCGTCCCTGCAGAATACTGTGCTGTGCTATATTCCAGGCAGGTCCTGTTTATTTCATCTTTCAAATTTCTAAATGTTACAAACTTCTGCCTTGTTTTAACTGATTTTATGTTTAATCATTGGTTTTACAAGTAAATCCTTTAAAGCCAAATGTCTGTTGTTTTTTTTGTTGTCAGAGTTTTTTGCAGAAAACTTGGGAGACTTTTTTATATTCCTTCGAAGGTTTGCAGATGATGTTTTGGAGACTTCTGCAGAAAGTTTGGAGCAGATTCTCGATTTCATCACTGTCTTCATGGGTAACGTTGAAAGGTAAGTGGTTCCATGGAAGCTGCAACTTCTTAGTATTTAGTTGCACATCTAATGCCATCTGCCCTACACCTCCACCAGGATGAAGAATCCACATTTGCGGGCAAAGCTGGCTGAGGTCTTGGAGGCAGTGATGCCGCACATGGAGCCTGTGGCTGCCGGTGCTGCTCAGCCGATAATGTTCCAGCGAGAAAGAGTCTTTTGCTCCTACACATATGCACCGAGGCTGGCAGAGGCCCTAATCGCTGTGTTTGTCGACATTGAATTCACAGGTGAAATGTTCGATTCTCTACAAGCTATCTTTAGATTGTAGATTAAATTTTAAATAACTTTATGGGATTTAATGTTTGAAACTAAGGTCAGTGATAATGCTGAAAATAAGTATGGAAGGTAGTTTGGAAACTCAAACTCTGAATGTGTGTTTTCTGAAGAATATAAAATTCAGACAAAGCATGAATACATTAGATTATATTATCAACTTCTCTCTACCTCCAGGGGATCCTCATCAGTTCGAACAGAAGTTCAACTACAGACGGCCCATGTATCCTATCCTCAAGTACATGTGGGACAAAGACAATTATAGGGAGAGCATTAAGGTAACAGAACATGAACCCCAACACTTTAAAAGTTACATGTTGGTGTGATGTCTTTTTCTATTACTGCTTTTAAAATTAGTAACCACAAATAACAATATGTGTAAAAGTTTGCTGTATCTGTACTTATATATAGTATGTGTGTCTATATATGCATATGATATGATGATGATTTGTACGTGTTTAGGTCTAATATAAATTTACTATATATTTCTACATACATATGTATTGTATTGCTATACTTTTAGCAATACTGCTAAATGTATTGTAATGTAGAAATATCTATATATGGTCATGTGCTTCTTACCTGAGCCATTCTTCACGTTGCAGCATTTGGCCAACTATGCGTCAGAGAACCTGGAGGCCATGAACCCCCCTCTTTTCCTCAGGTTTCTTAACTTACTTATGAATGATGCCATATTTCTACTGGATGAAGCCATTCAGGTAAACTCACAACAGAATATCCTCTATGATCATGTGTAGATGTTCAATGTTAATATGAACCTATATAGCATTTTATCATCTTGGCTTTAATGTCATATTTTTCCAGTGTTGTGCGATATTAAATCCATTTATTTTATTTTATTTAATGTTTTTAAATTATTATTTTCTTTTTTGCAGTATTTGAGTAAAATTAAAATTCTGCAGTTAGAACGGGATCGAGGCGAGTGGGACAGTTTAGCCCCCGATGCTCGGAGAGAAAAAGAGTCCAGTCTGCAGATGTTTGGACAACTAGGACGCTTCCACAACATCATGTCCAATGAGACAATCGGCACGTTGGCCTTCCTTACCTCAGGTCAGTGGCAAAAATGTTTATTTATTACACATCATATTAACTTGCACTCCAGCTCAGTAGATGGCAGTAATGCATCGAAGTAGGTAAATACACAGCATGCATTGAGTTATGTTGGTGCAGAAGAAAGTTTGGTGAACGGTGATGGACAATACAGATAAGCATAGACGTTATACGACTTCACAAACTTGAAGTGCTTATTTTGTTGAATGATAAATGCAATAAAGTGGTAAATTAATTACAAAGCTTCTAATGAATTGATTAACGTCATTGCATTCATCCATTACGTACAAATGTTGATTGTTTATTTTGTCCTATTATTCTTCATCCAGAAATCAAAGGCATCTTTGTTCACCCCTTCCTGGCTGAGAGGATCATCTCCATGCTTAACTACTTTCTGCAGCATCTGGTGGGTCCAAAGATGGGGGCCCTGAAAGTCAAGGATTTCAGCGAGTTTGATTTCAAGCCCCAGCAGCTGGTTTCTGATATCTGCACCATCTACCTGAACCTGGGGTACAGTGTGAAATTCAGTTTTACTAGTTAATACACATGAGAATTGCAGTCGTTGGAAACGCTGCAGACTTCATGTCCTAATTAATCTGTGTCTTTGTTTTTTGGCAGCGATGAGGACAACTTCTGTGCCACTGTCCCTAAGGATGGACGGTCCTACTCTCCTACACTCTTTTCCCAGACTGTAAGGGTTCTGAAGAAGATCAATAAACCCGGTGACATGATTGTAGCATTTGCACTCCTTGCTGACAAAATAAAGGTATCCAGTTATTCATCCTCCAGCCATAAATATTTTTACTGTGAAACCTGAACTAATGACCAATTGTGTCTCTGTTTTAGTCTCACGCAGACCGACAGCAGCAGGAAGAGGAAACCTATGCAGATGCTCCCGATGAGTTTTTAGACCCCATCATGTCCACACTGATGCTGGATCCTGTTCTCCTTCCTTCTTCTAATGTCACGGTTGACCGGTCGACTATTGCCAGGCATCTACTCAGGTGAGGTTATTTCCTGCTCAGCTTTGAATTTTCTCAAGATGCAGAGGCTAAAATATTTTATAAAATGAAAAGAACCATATCTGAATTGAATTCTTTTAGAGTTTTGGGAGTAATGTAAAAAAAAAGTGACAATAATGTATACATTAATATTATGTTCAATAAATACAGAAGATAACTATTTTTGGATTCATGTTGTCTTCACAGTGACCAGACAGACCCCTTCAATCGCAGTCCTCTTACCATGGACCAGATCAGGCCAAATGAAGAACTTAAACAGCAAATCCTACAGTGGCTGGAAAGGCATAAGCAGCAGAGGCTGCAGCTGGGACCCAGTGGGTAACTGGGACCCCTGTGTGCACTAGACAGTGACTGCATCCTCCTCTCCTGTCCTGGACCTGACATCTCACTCATGCTCCTCTGCTTTTCTAGTTGACTCCTGCAGCGCTTCCCTCTAAGGATCTCCTTTCTGGGCTGACTAATATTGCATTCAGCTTTTCAGGCGGCCTTTGTCCTCACTGGGCTTTCTCTGTGACAGCAGTACTGACAATTTGTGGCACACATGCTGCTGGCAATGTATACATACATGCACAGTAGCTGTTTGACTCAAACATAAGTAGAGTGATCTAACCTCTGGTACCTGTTTTTTTTTTTTTCTTGTCCTAAAACTTTGTATTGCTGCTATTGTTGCTGGCTATGAGTTCCATTTCAACTGGACTGGCAGAATGCACTGTACAGCCCTGACTGACCCACAGGCCAAAGTATAGATTTTATACAACAAGTTGTACAATTTTTGAGAAGTGATATGACATGAAAGTGTTGATGTTGTTATACTTTTACCTTTATTTCACTTTCATTAATGTCATGTTATACACAGACCTTTAAACATACCATAATGTAGCACTTTTGGTTATATGTCGCCCTTCAAAGTACTGGCAACCAGTGCACACTGTCTTCAACCTAAATCTACTAGAATTGACTGCAGCTCACACCACTACCTTCAACAATACTATGTAGAAGAAAATGGATGGTTTTATCCCAAACATCTTTGTATATACATTAATTGGTAATAAAGACAACTATAATAATCTCTTGGTTTATTCTGTATTTGAGATCTTCACAGCCTTAACCCCCTAACTTGTTTGCAGTTCTAACATGAATGAAAAGTTGCGAATTTAAACACTGGCTTTTGTTGCGCCTTGGTGTCTGAGACACTTATGGTTGTTGGACATAGGGTTAAATATGAAATTCTAGAGGGCTTATTAAAGTTTGATCTCAGTCTTGTAACTTGTATTAAAAAATATAATGAATTATAGGAAACGTTTTAAATTAAGTGACACATAAATGCTTGACAAAAATCATTAATTATACTAAAGTATAACATTGACATTCTAGACCAACATTTTTATGTTTAATGTTTTAAGTTGTTGTAATTTTTTAAGCTGTGATGTATCTGAGAATGGTTCTTTCTGTTTGCTAAAAACTAAAACTGATAATTTGGCTTCCCGTTTTTGTAGTTTTGGGTTTTTTTTTAAGTCATTTACATGGGTAAAACTACTGGGACTGAAGCCTACTCCTTATCCCTGGCCAATTTTTGAAAAATTCAAAATGTTTTACTAATTTCTTGGTCAAAGTGTGTAAACTGACAGTAATGTTTGCTAAATAGACTATAAATCAGAAAATAAATAAATTTGATAAATCAGAAATTAGGAGTATCATTTTTTGACTTGCAGTTCTTGTGCACTGTGTATCTCCACAAAATCGTAAATAATTAGAATGAATCATACAAAATGCTGTTATTTGTATGAATGTGTAGTTCACTAACAAGTTATATGTGTGTTTTTGTTTTTTGTTAGCATTGGTGCTTAAAACCATAGGCCTTGCAGTGAATCACAAAAAGCGAGGTTTAAAAGTTTAATACTGTGAGATGTTTGTTTTCTGTAAAATAAGGTTGAAAATGATGAAAACCAAATTGCTTTTATGTTGCCTTTTGAACAGAAGGATTTTAATTAATTGTATCCAAATGGAATAGATGTATAGTATATGAATGTGTCTGTTGGCATGTCTTCATACTTTGTCGATTAAATTATAACAACGTTTTGTTTGAAATGTGATCACAACATGTTTATGGGTGTACAGTATGATTAAGAAATAAAACTAATGTGTGTTATAAACAACTGATTTTTGAAGAAAAAAAAATACATGTTTCTTCCTCTTGTAAAATGGGTGACTACCAAAGTCTTGTTCACAAACAATATACAGTATGTAGTAAATAATAACAGCTTTATGTTTGACCACAATAGTGCATATCATCATGGCCAGTGACAGAACTGGACTGAGTTACATGATAAACTTACTTACTATAGCTTTAAGAAATAATAATAATTTTAAAAAAGCACTTGGGAAATAAAAAAGTAAATATATGGTGGTCCAACATGGAAGCCATCATGGAGATGTTGATTTCTGGTTACTTTATGCTCTTAAATGCATCAATTAGATAAATAGAACATTAATTCTGGTAATAAATATGATTTAATATTAGAAAACACTTGCACAAGTAAGCTCTCTTACAAACAATTTTGCGAAAAAAAAAATCCACTATTCTAAATACGAGGTATATTATTGGTGCCTATGAGACAAAAGCGTGTTAGTATTTTATATCAAAAGATAATTCCTATGCTTTTAAATATTAAAAAAGCAGCATAAGTCGCTAACGGTTTTCTCGTAATTCAAGTGCGAATCATGTTTCCCGGGCAAAGCCCCTGAACCTGATTTGGATTCATCCATGCAGGGCTTGAATGGGGGCCGCTCACAAAATGCATTGTCGGGGGTTTCGTCGGGTACGCCCCGCAACATGCATAACGAAGTGTCGGCCAGTGAGAGCGGAGCGTTGTGGTGGAGCTTGTTTATGTGGAGTGCTGGGTTAGGGTTCCGCCCACCGAGGTATCTGTGAGCGCAGGGCAGACGGAGACAGGCAGAGAGTGTAAAATGGCGCACAGCTGTCGGTGGCGGTTCCCCGCTCGGCCCGGAGGGAGCAGCAACTCCGGTACCGGGAGGAGAGCGAGCCGAATCAGGGTTACTGCCTCTCTGCGGAGTATCTCTGGAGCCCAGTCCAACGCTGCTGGGCTTGGACCCGGGTTTGATGCTGCACTACAAGTCTCTTCGGTGATCGGGAGTAACCTGCAGAAATTTCGGGATGTTTTAGGGGAATCAAGCGACTCAAGCAGCGGTGAGGTAAGCACAAGACTGGACTGGAGCAGGGGGTAGAGCATCGTTAGCGCCGGCTGTAGCGCTGCAGGGCTAGGTTTAGCTCAAGGTGTTTTTCTCACCGTCCCGGATGGAGAGCTAACGGTTAGGTTAGGTTTGACCATCCTCTCCTCTCAGTGGAGCTGCGAACAAACTTGCCATTGCCAGTTCAATCAGTCAACTTTGGGTTTCTGTTGGGCTTTATAAACTCTCCTTTTACTTCATAAAACATTACAACTGCAATTAAATTCGCCACGAACAGCAGGTGATTGTCGGATGTTTGATCTTCTGACAGAAAGTTTCCCCCTTCAGTGTAAGGACATGCTACATCCATCCACTCAGTTCGGGACACTGATGCTAATGTTGGACGGCTAACAGGACCAAAACATTGTTATGTTTTAAAAAGATAACACACATACACACAGCATTAAACACCTATCACAAACCCTATTACATTCATCTGCTAGTCGTTACACCGTAATTAAGCTGCTCTTAGTGGTTTACTTGTTAGCTCTCTGACATTAGCTTTGATGTGAAGTCCTCAGATTTATTTAATATCCAAGCTAAAGTGAAAGTTACTCTCAAAATAATGTTACATGTTGTTTTATCGGTGTCCGTACGCCTGCGGTCATTATAATTGTGTTCGCTGGCAGTGTAAGTAACCCAGGGATTTTGTATGTAGCTTGTAAGGTATATGAAAACAAGACATGTCAACTTGAAGGAGGCGAGAGAACACAACTGAGGTTTGTAAGTAGAAAATGTTACACTTAGCGCCCCTTTCTCCAAGAATATGCTTCTGTGGTCCTCCTTTTATTCATACCCTTTAACTTTGCGTTTCTTACTGGGGCTAAAAGTCATATTATTAACACTATAAGCTCTAGTGGCTGATTCTGCTTTCAATGAGATGTCATCACTACAGCTTAGGCTTGGCTAACAGAGCTACAGGCTAACTGTCTACAGCTAAAACTACACCATTATCCACCTCGACCTGCGCGCTGTTGGAAGTTACTGTGGAACCCGTGAGGCTGCTGTGTTTACTTCCCCAATAGATGACATAGAGTCAGGTTAAAAGTGAAATATACCACAAGTTGGCTCTGCTCAACACTGAAAAAGTAATTGATGTCGGTCGCAGTTGAAGTGGTTAAGCTAGGACAGCTACCATGCTACGCATTACGCCACGCTAGCCACTGGGGCTGTTGCTGATGCATAGGAAAATGGGAGGTGGACATGTTTTCCCCCTCCACACAGCCACTACGTAGCTAGTACAGAAATAATATTGGGTTTTTAACACTCGTAGTTGACGTCTGGTCCACAGCTACACATCCAGAATCAAAGTCATGAACGTTTACGTGCCACCGGGGATAAATCGACGAGCTTTTGTGTTTGGATTTGTTGGGTTTTCACATAGAAACGAGTAGTGTGTGACAGTGCGCATGCAGGGCTGGCTACAATAACAACGAGCCCCTTCTTGACGGAGCGTGTGATGTGGGGGTGTGTTCGCCTTAGCGAACTACCATCTTCCTTCTCCATGATGAGCAGCATGCGTTCAATGCAGTGGGAGTAGACAGTGTGGAGATGTTTACCTGCAGCTTTTCCTCCAAGCATGGCCATATTTGCACACATGTACTATGTTACAGATCACTATCTTAGTGACATGGAAGTAGATATTATTAGCAAAAAAAAAAGTTTACATAAGGGGAAAGAATAGTTCGATTAGTTGGCTTGATAAGATAATATTTTATGCAGTAATAGCAAAAAGAAAAAAAAATCTGAACTTCAAACTGGTAATGGATGATTATGAAGAGTTCACACTTTCTGTTTCGAACATTTGCTTGCGATTTTGGCATGTGTTAATTATTTGAAACAGGAACATTATAGTTTCCTATTAGCAAGCTTTCTGCTCATATATAATATATATGTAATATATATATGTGTGTGTGTGATGTAATGGTTATAGCCTTGAACTTATTAAGGGTGGTCATTGGTCACTGGCTCACTGTCTCTACAGCAAGAAAATCACTAGCATCAAGGAAGTGATTTTCCTAGTGCTATCTAATTGTCCTTTGTTGGTAGTTCCAGTGGTCTTTCCTAATTATGGACTGTGTTTTACTCTAACTGACCCTAGGTGTGAATATGAGTGTGAATTGTTGTTTGCATACAGAGTCAGGAGAACACCCCTTAGTGTTCCATGTGGGATCACCATATCTGTACTTTAGTCCACAGTGGAAAAGTTAAATAACCTACCTGTTTTATTGGTTTGTCTAGGCAAATACTTGTTTTTATAGATGCTTGAATGGAAATGTTGACGAATATTTAACCACAATCCTGCAATGCGTTCCTTAAAAAAAAGCATCTTCAAGAACAAGGGCACCACAAGAATTTACCTGTAACTTTTGTAAACCGTAAATGGCTGTTGGAGCATTTATGACATATAACTTTTTTTTTTTCATTTTTATGGCTCTTATCAGTTCTTCCTTCTCACACTTACATCCCCGCTAAATTCAAACGACTCTAACAGATGAAGTCTGTTAATTATTTGACTTTCTCTCATTTTCTCAGTAATGCAAAAAGTCGAATCAGTTTGAAATATCTCCACATTTGCTACCATGGATAATGAGAGAGTGATTGACCTGTGCGGTGTCAGCAACTTGTTTTATTTTGCTTTTTTTTTTTTGCTTTCAAAAGTTAGAAGCATAATATCACCTGTGTTTATGTGAGCCCAGATGATGTTGCCATGTGATCCTAGAGTTGTAAACAAAGCAATGTTGTTGCTATATTTCTCTATGTATGTATGTTAAACGTCATATGAGAAGGGAAAACGCACTGACTTAGTTTGGTCACAATTTTGCAAACCAAAGTAAAGTGTATCTTGATGATGTGGTATTTAAAGATAGGTTTTAATGTTAACATTACATTTATATGACTAGACTTTTCTAGCTTTTTACTTTTGTGTGTTGCAGTGAAGAACACTGTGGAACAAGAAAGAATTGTAATTTTTGTAATTTTATTGTAGTTTCTATCACTACAGTCACAGCTGGCTTTGCAAAACAGGAATAGGTTTTTCTGCGCAGAAGTTGAACTGTTGTTATGCTTGGACATTAATGTGTGGGAAATCGATTTATGGTCAGATCATGAATCTGTTTATGTCCTGACCTTGTACAAAATACATAGAATTCTTGTTTTTGTTATTATAATGGCTATGGCTATAGTCAGTAGATATTGCAGTTGTCTTGTGTTGTAGAATCCCAACTTGGTAGATCCTGGCAGCCTTGCTGTTATTGAGTAGGTGGTAAAACCTGTAGTGTAGAGTGCTTTGATTTGTCCACTTGGCACTAGGAAGGTGCTATGCAAGTATACAGCCCGTCTACCTTTTGTTCCTTGTGTTATGGTGATACCAAGTTGCTGGTGTCTTTGCTGTACAGGCTATGGAGTTTGCAAACAACATTATTGTTGCAGACCAATTAATCTTTTATTCACTGTGTTCGGCCAACTTATATTTAGACCTTATGTTTTTCAATATACAGACTTAAGACTTTAAAACTTTTGGTGAAAGCACCTTTCTGTCTGAACAGAACCTCATAGTGATAAATTAACATTTTGTAGTTTTGCATTAATTTTTATATATGTAAACAATTACACAGTGAGATTGATGTAATAGAACATTGTACATTGAGCTCTTACTGTATATCATCATCAGTGCAACTAACAGTCACAACTTGCTTTTATTGTTATAGTTGCTGTTATGTATAGTATATATGGTATATTGCTGAATGTGTCCTTTCCATCTTCTTCTAACTCAAGCAATGTATACAAGACTAACACATTTGTGGTGACAGATTGGACCATTATACTGTATTTGTTGGAACCCAAATAGTATAAAAGATGTGGAAACAGCATGGTGATTTCATTGAGAATTTGTTCCAGTGGCTGTCTGTCCAGACTGGGGAGGATTGTTCAGTCTTGCTGCAGCCTGCTGAGCTTACCGGCTGAACCTGAACAGAGGGACAGTCTGACACTTGCCCTCCCCACCCCCTAACCCCCAAGTCCTCCCACTTTTTTTTCTATCCAAGCAGAAGAACCCAAATCCACTTCAAAAACACAACACTGTCTGAGAGGCAGAGCAACTTTTCTTCTGACAGCTGCCACTGGAATGGATTACTAAGCCTATTGGGGGTGGCTCAAAAGGCTGCTTCTTGGCTGTTGCCCCACTAATAAAGGCATTTCTTAGCTCTCTCTCTGTGTGTGTGTATGTCTGTGTGTCAGTGTGTAGAGGGGAAATTATTTTCTTGATCTGCCCTAATTGCTGTGTCCTTTTTGGTAACTGGGTGAAGTTTGTCTTGACTTTATCTGTGTGTGACCTTATCACCTTCACAACTTCTAATTGGATTTTGCATCATCTTCCTGTGTTTTTTCTTCATTACACGTTTTCTCCACCACATCTACTCTACACACAGATTATGACCAGTACTCATGGCTAACAAAAGTGCAGCTTTATAGATGTATCAACCTTGAAGTCTATTTGCCCCACTCGGTTGAGTGAAATGGTGTGTTTGAGCGGAAAAGGGTTTCAGTCCAGCAGGTGTTTGGCCTATTTAAATCCAAGACAAGCCCCCCTTCACATGCTTACCCATCTCAGAGACAGCGTGTGGACCAGAGCAGGAAGCTTTGTGTCTGCTTTTATTCTGGCTTTTACAAAGAGCACAAGTAGGGATATCAAAGGGTGTGTGGCAGGACCCCTCCTCCCAACGGGACAACGCTGGGAGCAGAATTAGTCACAGGCCCTCCCATCTATAGCTTTATACTGCTACAGCAGGCGGGCAAGGGGCTTTTACTTCTGCTTTTGGGGTTGCCTGATTGGGAGAAAGGAGGCAATTGTGTCGTCTTTCTCACTCTTTGTGTATTTGTGTGTGTGTGTAGCACTGGAGTTTGTGCATGGGTGTGTTGCAGGGGTGTTCCCCAGACTTTATGTCCCATACTGCACTCAAGTA